TGCACATGCCAGGGCCTAATGCACACACACCTGCTCATGCCAGGGACGAGCACACACACCTGCTCATGCCAGCACCTGGTGTGCACACATAGGAACCCCCATGGCCCTAGCAGTAAGCTGGGCCTGTCCTTGCCACCACCTGTCACTCCCGTGAAGCGGCCATGGGGGATTAAGTTGCAAGTAGCTGGCACATTAATTATGGGTTCTTCAGGAAACATTCAAAGGAGCTCTTTGGGGAGAAGACCACGAATAACACACGCAGTTTGAAGCAGAAGGGCTGCCCAGTGGCTCTGGCAAGGAGGCTCGGGGCAGGGACACCCCAGCTGCCCAGGGGCTCTCAGACATGGAAGGAGGCTCCAAATGGGGCACCCCTGAGCCTGGCCCCTCTGGGACCCTCAGGCTGGCTCACCTCACCCCTTACCTCACCCACTGGTAGGGGTCTTGGCCCCTCACTCTCCCTGATCCTGACCTGCATCACACAGCATGTTATCGCCAGCCACTTCCCACACTGGCAGGTCTGCCTGCTCTGGCCCCAGCTGGAGCCCAGTGCTGGCACAGCTCCTGGCCAGAGTGTGGCTCCATCCAGGAGTGGTTGAGATGCTGAGACTGCCCGGGCAGTGGGAGGAAGGGGCAGTGCAGGGCCGCCACCCATGGCTGTGACCGGGGACCCGAGGAGGGCAGGGCTCCCCTAGGGAGACACCCCTCCGGCGTCACACCACCCAGAAGTGTACAGCCCACCAGGTGCAACACTGGAAAACACGGCACCTGACCCACCTGACCCTGAGGTCGGGGCGGCTGGGGAGGCCCAGGGCTGCAGGGTGTCCCTGCTACACAGAAAATCAGCGGGTTAATTACACACCCTATAAACAAGCTGATGTGAGTTAGGGAAGCAGCCCTGCAGGCCTGGCACTGTGGAGCTCGCAGTAAATCAGGGGCTGTGGTGGTCGGGGGGCGGGATGAGGTGGGCGGGGCCCAGGCCCCGCCCTCCAAAGAGCCAAAACGGCTGTAAATCTGCAGAAATGGCTTTTATGTAGCTCTGGGTTTTATGGTGTCATTAACGTCCCTCCTGATGCTTAAGGGGCAATGAAATGAAGTCCTGAGGAAAGGGTAGGGGCTGCTCCCCTGGGGCTGGGGCAGGGGGAGGGGCAGGAAGCAGGGACAGGGGCTGGGGTTGGGGCTGGGGCGGGAGGTAAGGGTAGGGAGGTGGCCCCCACAGAGCTGGACTCCTCAGGCCCAGGCAAGCCAGCCACCTCCTGCCCCCGGGCCCAGGGGCCTCATGCCTGAGTCCAGGCTGAGTATGGAGCATGGCGTGGGAGTGTCAAGTCCCTGGGGGGCGGCTGCTCCGTGCCTGGGGCCCTTCACTCCGAGTGCCTCCTGGCAGGACCCAGAGGCAGAGCGTCTCCCCCACCCCTAGTCCTCAGGAAGTCAGGGAATGAGGGTCAGCTGGTCTCTCCCAGGGCAGGACCCTGAGCATGGGTGATGCTCCCTCCGATTCCCCGCCAGTTTTGGCCCCCTTCCCAGCCCCGCTGCACCCTGAGGTGTCTGGCCCTGGGGAGGCATTCAGGACGGCTGGGGGCTGCAGAGGTGTGGGGCATGCATGGGTCCAGCCAGCAGAGGAGGGGACGGCAGACTTACCGAGTAGCCTCTGCCCGAGACGGCCTGCGTAGAACTCTGCGGGGAAGGAAGCATAGTGAGGAGGGTCATGGCTCCCAATGGTGGCCCCTCCTCTGAGGACCGCCCCTTGGCCCAGGACCTGAGCCTCCTTCAGAACCCCTGTTCCTGGGTGCTGATGGCTGACGGGCCACTCCCGGGGCGGGGGGCGGGGCATGACAGAAGCCGCAGGGGAGGGCACAGCAGAGGGTCCCAGAGCCCCAGCGGCCTTGCGCCTGTGCCTGAGGACCCGTGTTCGGAACCTTCCTCCAGAGACGTGGCTCAGCCCAGCAGTCAACCCAACAGAGAGGTGGGCACAGTCACCATGTCCCCTCAGTGAGGGGCTCAGTGCTTGGGCACATCTCGGCCCCTTGCAAGGGCCAGGTCCCATCTTTTCACACATGGTTCTACCAGCCACAAGAATGGAGGGGAGGCAGACCCACCCCTCTGTGCCCCCGTGGGTCCACCACTGACCACCCAGCAGCCTCCAGCCTCCCAGGGTCACAGCGCTGCGGGGGTACGGGGGTGGGGGGCAGGCTTCCTGGAAGGGGAGCTGGATGGGTAACCTCGGGGACACGGAAGTGAGATGGCAGGGCACACTGTGGCCACCCAGGGAGGTCCCCTGAGGGAGACCCAACAGCACTTGGCGGGGCACTCTCGGGCTTGAGTGGGCATTTCAGATGTGCCGGGAGAAACCAGTGAGGAGCGGGGCTTTGCAGGCAGCTGCACGGGGAGGGGCCCTCCGCTGCAGGGCGGTTGGATGTGGGGGTGGTTCAGGGTGTGAGTGAGGAGCAGGTGCACAGCGGGCCAGTGTGGGCTCATCCGGGACCCGCAGACCAGGGTCCAGAGCGTGCTGGAGGGGAACGGAGGTCTGGCTACAGATTCCTCCAGGACAGTGGATGACCACGGTGAGTGGTGTGCGTTGGGGGGGGGCGGTCTCCCTACTGCAGCCTGGACTGCTCAGCTCTGCACACAGCACCCCATCCAGCCTCGGCCAGGGCTCTGACCCTGGCCACATCCCGAGGGCTCACCCTGGCGGGGGGGCCCCACACGTAAGCCCTGCTGGTGGGGGCAGGCGGGGTGCTGTAACTGCTCCCCAGCGTGCGCCCTCAGGGCCGTCCCTGATGTGCTCAGAGTCCGTCCTCACGCGTCCCACCGGCAATTAGAGTCCGAAGTAGGACAGCCCCACAGCCTCAGACAATTACCAGCCTATTTTCCCATCTTGTGGCAACAAGCTCGGGGCCGGGCAATTAGGCCCTCCTCCTGGCCTCCCCCCACAGGCCGTGCCCCCAGGCCCCTATTGAGATGATAATGAGAGACGCTCACTCCATTCAGAAACCCAGCCCCACGCCTCCGTGCTTCTGCAGCTGGGGGTCTAGGAAGACAAAGGCCTGGGGGGGGTCCGGCACCCCCTCCTGGGGGACCTCCCTCCTGGGGGACCTCCCTCCTGGGGGACCTCCCTCCTGGGACCCCTCACCGCCGTCTTCATCCTAGTCTGCCCTGTGCCCAGCGACCCCCTCCTCCAAGTGGCTGTGACCAGGGAGACCCAGGGGCCCTGGAGGGTGCCCAGCACGCCTACGGCTGGCCATATCCAAGTTCAATCCTCTGTGCGCTGCCCGGTCATCCCACACTAGGCCTGAGGCTCAGGGGCCTATCCTCTGGGACACTGTCCCCAGACCAGGACGCCCTCGCTCCCAGCGGCCCCAGCAGGCCTGCCCACCAGGCCAGAAGCACTGCCCACCGCTGTTCCCGTCACGGCCCCACCTCCCTGCCCACTGCCCAGCCAGCAGCACCAGTGGGCCAGGGCAGACCCCCCAGTTGGACAAGGGCCTCCCCATGACTCCTGCTGGGGCCTCACCCAGGTTCCTCATTTAAACCCCTCCTAGCAGGGAAGTCCTAATTAGTGAAAAACTGTGTTTTAGGGAAGGCAAAATGCTAACTGCAAAGGCAAAGCCCTCGGTGAGACTCTCAGGTGCTAAGCACATGGCCTGCAGTGTCTGCCGGAGGCGGGGGGGGGGGGCAGCTGGGGGCACCTGGGGGACCAGGAGCGTTGGGCTGAGCAAGCGGCGGGGCACTCACGTCACTGAGCTGGTCCCGAGAACTGCTTGTCCGGGAGCTGGTGGCTTCATGGAGGCTGTCATCCCCACTGTGGCGGTCGGCCCCTCTGGATGCGGTGACCTTCATCTGGGGACAGGGAGAGGCAGGCTCAGCAAACACAGACCCAAGCCCTCTGCCTGTGGGGGCAGGGCAAGGGCACAGCCAGGGTCAGGCTCCTCACCCCTGCCCTGACCTGCTCACCCACACTGAGCCCCGGGCCACAGCCCAGGGAGAGGGCAGCAGGGGCAAGGCTGTGCAGAGCTAACCATTTACCACTCGGAGTGGGAAGAAACACCCAGAAGAGCAGACGGCACACAATGGCATAATGCCACTCTGAGCTCTGGCCTGGTTTCCTGGAGCCGGTGGGCCGCCCCGCCACCTCACTGCGCCAGGGAGCCGGACACTGGGCCCCCGCGGCAGGCCGGCGGCAGTTCACCCACCCTCGTGGCACCCATGCCACCACAGTCCCAGGTCTGCACAGCTGGGTGTGGACTGGCCACTCCCCACTGTGTGACCTAGGGCCACCGCTAGACCTCTCTGTGCCTCTGCACCATGTCTAGGATGTTGGCCAGTGTCTCCAGCTTTTCACGCAGAAGCCCGGATCGGACGCTTGTGCCCACTTTACAGACGGCCAATCCAAGCCCAGAAGGTTAAGTGGACCCAGAGTTCCTGTTCCTCCTTTCCTTTTCACTGGGAAATAACTTCAGACAGCTGCAGGTCAGCCCCGACCCTGACCTCCTGCGGCCAGGGAGTCACCACCCCAACCACGTGGCCTATAGGTGTCCTGGGTTCCCCCGCTCACTGTCTGGGGACCCACCACTTCCCGAACCCCCAGCCTCCCTATTCTGGAGCGTTCTCGCAGCCCCGTTCTGTTGGCGTGTGGGGCACCCGCAGACCATCGGCACCCTGTCTGTGTGCCTGGCGCCGTCCTTGGAGCAGACCCAGGTGGCTGCTGACCCCTCTCCCTGGTGCTGCCCAACACCCCGTGGGCCAGTGTGGGGACACCACGGGGCATGTGTGTCCGGCCCTCCTCTTCGCCCCCAAGCTCAGCGCAGTGCCCACAAGTGCAGCAAAGTGCAGAACCCGCCTCACGACCAGGGTCAGCGAGGCCTGGCCAGGGTCCAGAGCCTACAGCCAGTCCTCCACACCCAGCTGTTCTGTCTCAAGCACCCTTTAGCCTGGAGACCCTGACTCGGCCAAAAGTCAGGATGGGTCGGCAAGGCACCCTGGCTATGATCTAGAATATTCCTGAGTCCCGGGGAAACACCCTCAGGGCCTCAGCCCCTCCTCCTGCACACCCGCGGCAGGCTCAGCCAGAAGCCTCTCTCGAGGCAGCCCCTCAGAGCCCCTGCTCCCCAGGGCCACCCCAGGTCCCAAGACGGGGCTACAGCCCCCAAAAGCCATGGGCCCTGTGTTGTTGGCCAGCAGTGTCCACAAGCCACAGCCCAAGGCCCCAGGTGCTAGGGCCCAAGGGAGGCCCAGGCCTCAGCACCACCCTCCTTCTCTGAGGTAGGCCAAGGGCAGGATCCTGGCCCCACTGCAGGCACGAGCCCCCACATCACAGGCCTGTGGGACCCCTGCCTCCCATGCTCCGTCCTGCTCAGCTGAGCACTGGCCAGCGTGGCCTCTTCTGACTGTCCCTGAGTCTCAGCTTCCTTACCTCTGCAATGGGGATGCCCACTGAGTCCCTCACATGTGGCAGAGTGCGCGTGCACGTGTGTGTGCGTGCGTGTGCGAGGTGTGGTTCTGTCTCCTGTGCCCTGGGCCGGCACCGAGAAGCCACCAGGTGTCACTGTTGTCACCTGCAGGCTCGCACTGCTCTGCACCCCACATCCGCCCTCCCCCAGAGTGGAGACAACCAGGGCCTGGGGGACCTTCCTTGCTGCCTTGCTGGGGGAAGCCTCTGTAAGAAACCAAGAGTTAGAGTCCAGTGCTTCTCAAAGTGGGGTCCCTGGGCCAGCAGCATCAGTAGCACCCAGGAACTTGTTAGGAACACAAATCTGCATTTTCAGGACCCACCCCAGGCTTCCTGAATTTGAAACCCAAACCATGTGCCATCAGGCACTCTGGGAGACTCTGCTGTGGCTCAGTTCAGATCCACGGTTTGGGTCATTAGTAATCACCCCCATGAGCCCCACACTCGCTGCTGGGGGACAGCAGCTCAGCTTGAACCCAGGGCACGGTCCCTGCCCCAGGAGCGAAACCCAGAGAAACTGCAGGGACAGGAAAAGACCAGTGCAGGACTGCCATGTACAGTTGTGAAGACTGTTCACTGCACAAGTTTACCCAGTAAGAGGAGAGGGGATGGAGGGGCTAAACTACAACCCACACACAGCTGAAACTGGAAGAGGGAGGGTGCCACATTACACTTCACACACACAAACAGGCTGTCTCCTCTCTGAGCTGGGCCCCAGAAAGGATGCCTCAGCCTGACTCCTTAGTGGAACCCTGCAGGAAGGGCAGGCTGGGGTCTTTCACCCTTCCTTGGGGGACCAGTTTTGGCTCCGAAAGCCCCATTTCCCAGAAAAATCCTGTAAAACTAAGTCTTGAGTTGTGGGAACCACCCCAATCCCAGACACAACAGGATGGCTGGTCACCTACTTCTGTCCCCAGGCCACGACCCCAAAGAGCCCAAGCTGGGGTTTGGCTATCCTGTAGCGCGCCTGCTTCCCTAGCTGCTCAGAAATGTTGCTGGCCAGCTACGCCGGGGTGGGGTGAAGGATGGCACACCTCTGCTTCCAGCTGGAGCTGGAGAGATGAGGTCAGTCTCTGGGCCTTCAAGTCCATCTGCCCATCTGTCTACCCACCCACCATTCATCCACCTGTCCATCCATCTGCCCATCTGCCTGTCCACCGGCCACTCGTCCACCGTCCACCGGCCACTCGTCCACTTGTCCATCGTCCACTCGTCCATCGTCCACCGTCCACTCGTCCACCGTCCACTCG